TACTGCAATGTGAATAAAGCAGGATACATATTGTCGCCATTCTGCAGAAGATGTATCTGAACCTCACGGTGGAACTATAAAAATTGGATGCCTTAGTAGTCTCACAGGGAAAATTGCAGCAAGGGGACTTTAGGGTCCTTTTATTTATGCATATAATTCGAAAAAGGTTCTATGTCACCACTAGAAATGTTTTGGTTGGTGGCAATTATTTTAGCTTGGGTGTTGGGGTTCTATGGGTTTTGCTTTTAATTCTTAAGCTTACCACAGGAGGGCACAATCTTCCTGCGGGCATGCTTACAAAAAGGAGCTCGCTCACCTGCTCCTCGGGTGCGAGCCATGGGTCAATACCCAGTTAATAACGTCAAATCCATGATTGTCGTCAAAGATGAGGTTTGTTGGTTTTGGGCTGTCCTTCTTTTTTTCCTACTTGGATGCGTGTTGATAAGGAAGTTTCTTGGCAGAGGCTTTTGTTCTTGGACAATATTTGCAGAATTGGATATAAAGTGGTATGAGGTTTGAATGGTATCTTTGTTTTTTCTTTTTTATTTGTAAGAGTAACATCTAATAGTGCAATTTAGCAAAAATATATTTATGTATTTTACCTGTTCCCTCCAGCTTCTGACTTTGTGGTCATGGCTACCTGTGAGAATGACAATGCATCAGCCTTCTCTGATTTACACCACAGAAGAACATGGCTGTTCCCTCACAACATTCTTCCAGGTATGTTGCTCTATGTGTCTGACTTCATGGTCAACATTTTAGTTTTTCTTTTTATCAATATGTTGTGTATATTTCATTTGAACATGTGGTTCTAGGATATGGTCATTGTCAACATTTTAGATTTTCTTTTTATTAACATTTTGTGCATATTTCACTTGAACATGTGAAATATATGGTTCTAGGACCATATTCTGGTATAGATATCTAGGATCTGTGATATGATACTATTCTCTAATTCTAATTTTTTTTTGCCATAACAGCGTGTGGAGAAGCATGAACCAACTCTCATATGCATACGAACAGTAAAAGACCATGTCTTTGGTGCCTATTGTTCCACGGCTTGGGAACAGCGCAACCTTAAGGACGAATTTGGGAACCGACAGACCTACTTTGGAACGGGAGAATGTTTCTTGTTCAGTCTGCGGCCTACTGTTGCCAAATACCAGTGGGTTGGCATATCTAAGCAGCAGCAGAATTCAGAATTGTCTTCAGTGGAACATTCATCAGAGCTTTTCATGCATGCAGACAGCTACATGATCACCATTGGTGGAGGGTAAGTAGATTTCATTTGGTTTGGTGTGTACTGCAAATCATGCTTTTAATTTATGTTTGAATATTTACACTTCTGGTATATGTTTAAGATTGTGAAAAGTTAATGGAGATTGTTTACTTATGTGAGTTTCTAGCCACACTCTTATAACCTTATTTCATATCTCTTGGCAGAAATGGACAAGGCATCATGCTGGACCAAGAACTCCGCTTTGGCAAAACGGAAAAGTGCAACACCTTTGACAATCCTCCTCTCACACCTGATGTTGACTTTGAAGTGAAGGTCATTGAGGTTTATAGCTTTGCAAACGTGTAAGACCAAGATATTTTAAACTTCACTAGAATATTTGTATTGTGATATTTTTGATTGTTCATTTATCATGGAACAATATAGATTCTGAATGGACTTTTGGATAGAGAAAACCGAGGATTTTTTCAAGCTAATGAATCAAGAAAAAATCATTTTTACAGCCAACTGAACTATATTTTCTTTAGTGTATTTTTGCTAAGAGAATAAAGTAAAGTAGTTTAGAATACTCATGTTACCATACAATTACAAATTACCGAATAGGTAAGTATAACCCAAAGAGCATAGTTAATATAACTACATAGGATACTCATGCCTACTTAAAGATAATTACTGAATAGGCCATTCATAATATTAAAGTGTGAAGTTCATCCCCCAGAAATGTTGAACCTAGTCAGGAAAATGCTATGATATTAATGTCATTATCGGCATGACAGGAAGCATATTCATGATTTTAGAGGTTATAATTTTTTTCTCCCTACTTATTTATTTGTAGAATGCAAGCAGTTTTAAGTGAAATAAGTTAAGTAGATACGTTTAAGCTTTAGGAGCAGTATGTGAAAGAATGTGCAAAAAAAGTGTAGCACATGAAATACAGTAAATTAGGGCAATTTACCGTTTTAAAGAGATGGTAAAGCAATAATGAAAAGGAAATTTGGTTGTAGTGATGCATTTAGAATCAAAAGGATTTCAACATAACCAAATAATAGTGATATAAGAAGATAAGATGAGAAGAAAACCTGCAATATTGCATGAATTAGTGCTAAAAAGTAGTTGTGACATTGGATTTAGATACAAAAACATTTTTATGGAATTGATGTACATCAGCCTAAAAGCATTTACATACTGACATTTTACGAATACAGAATCTCAAGTGACTTTCAATCATTATATGGTCAGCTTGTAAATCTAAGTGTTTATTAG